GTTCGAACATGCTTATATAGTGCCTACTGATTTTGTATATGGTCATTAGCAAAATTGGAAGATTCACTATCGGGAGAATATAAAGAGAAGAGAGGTAAAATGAAAGACCTTGTTTCACTCTATATTGATATGCATGTGGGTATTTCATAAAATTATAGAAGCTTGCAAAACATTTATAAAATGTGGTATTTTCATGAAATATTTTTTGATACATACTGGATATAAGTGATTATGTGCTTATTGTAAAACAAGAAATACGTTTAAGATAAATTTTTGGAAAATATTTGTTATGTTGATATAAAACTAATTTTTGTAAAATGTATGTTGTGTTGGTATAAAACTGTTTTACAAAAGTAATGAACCATGACAACTTTTTTTCCTAAAAATCATTTTATTGTCATAAGTAGATCGGGTAATTGAGATATCATGTGTGAATTTCATAGATGGTCTCTAAGATTTTTCAAATTTACATATTTCATTTGATTTTATAGGTTTGATTTTTGTTTGTGTTTTTGGGTTTGATTTGACATTAGTTGTTGGGTTCTTTCTGGGTTTGAATCTCGTTTGTTTATTTTGGTTTGATAATATGGTTTTGATTTGCATTTAATTACCTAGGTTTGAGTCTTTTAGTTTGATTTTCTAGATTTGATTTGTCATCATCCGCGAGTATTTTTTGGATTTGATATTTTGGACTATGATTTGCAGACTTGATGATAGTTATAGTGAGTCAATTGCATATGGTTACAACCTAAATACTAGTTTGTATTCAAATTTAAACGTTACAACTTAAAATTCAAACAGCGATCTCTAATAAGAATAAAGAGAAACTAAGCCTGATTGGATTGATTTTATACACTAATGTCTTTACTAAGTCATAAGAGTCAGGATGGCCGAGTGGTCTAAGGCGCCAGACTCAAGTTCTGGTTCTCGTGAGAGAGCGTGGGTTCAAATCCCACTTCTGACAAATAATAAATTTTTTTAATGTGTCATCTTTTACTTGCATTTTCTAGTTGCCTTGATTTCGTCTTGTACAATCATAGTTTCATTTTTCTAAAAATCTGTGCTGTTCTGTCTAAATCACTCGACATACTTAGACAACAAAATCATCATATCTATCAACGAAGCTTCCAATTCATATGTGTCATCGTTTTCGTGTGATCATCTTTGTTTGTTAAAGGAAAATTGTATGAATTCCAGTTGCATTTGCAAAAATTATATGTGAATCTTTCCAATGATCCATAATTTTTTCTTTTTTCACAATAACACCGATCGATCAGAATATAATTTCCAATTCATCTTCACCGTTAAATTGCTCTTTCGTTATCTGTCACAATTTGCATCTTATTTGAATGTTACACGATGTACTTGACTAAAGTTGTGAGGGGCATTAGGTTTATCGATATCCAGGTAGTAATTTTCTACGAAGAAATTCATTGTTATCGAACATTGAACATGTTCCATTTCGTAACGTTTAGCGAATTAACACTCTGAATCTCATATATTGTGTTGCTAATTGTTGACTTAATTTTGTTTGAAGAAACCTATGGATATTTTGTTGCCAGTTGTTATGGAACAATAAACAGGATTCATCTTGTGCACTGAAACACATAAAACTTAGTTGCCAATTATTGATAAACGTTGCATCATTACATGTATTTACCATTTGCGTCTAGAAATGGATCATTAATGCTGCTGGTTTACACAGGTGAGGGCTTGAAACACATTGATCATGGTATTGGATGCCTTTTCCACGATGGAACTGATCAACTGTAAGCTGCCCCCTCATCATGCATCCACCACTTGTAACGTGTAAAAATCAACCTTTTTTCCACGCATTAATGACTTGTACAATAGGAAATGGGTGTCATTGATTAGGTAGATTTGTAAGTGGGTATGAATTTAATGAAATGGGACCAAGTATTCCCTTTCAGACGATAGATAAAATTAGCAATTGGTCAGTATGCTTGTTTTGAAGCACATGCCTTGCTGCTGCAATTGTTCCTGGACCTTTTTTTTTCATTCATTCAGAAGTCAGATGAATATCAGTATATCACCTTTGACCTTTTTTTTCTTACATATGAACAGGGAAATATGACAGACTCTGAAAATGATGTTCTTTTTATAGAGGATTTTCTTTGACAGATTTTGATAAAAAAGGATTGGAGTTAAAGAATTCACCTAAAATTTAAAGAACAACAACAACAAGAGCACAAAGAGGAACAAATACTCAGGGAAAGAACAAACAAAAATCCCAAAAAAGATTCAAACAAATAACTGACAATTGAAGATCTAAAATGTCTATCATGTCTAGAATAACCTTGAGTCCTTGACCACCTTTTATCATACAGCTTTTGTTTTGTTCTCTTAAACGATAGTACTATTTTTCATCAAATAAATTCACCAGTATTCTTTTTATTGTCTATAATTGCCACTTGTGGGTAAGGATTCGATTTTCTTTTTAAATTAATAAATTCAACTAATTTCTTTTATTGTCCTACAATTGCCACATTTTCTTGTGGGTAACGATTCAATCCTCCTTTTCATTAAATAAATTCACTAATTTCTGTTTATTGACCTATAATTGCCACATTTTCTTGTGATTAAGGATTCAATCCTCAGTATAAGGTTACAGTTTCCGGTTTATTTACTTTTTGGTTAAATGTTTTTGGTTCTCCTCCTCTATGCTGCTCTCTACCCCTCTTGTATCCTCTCTACACCTCCCTCTACCCCTCTTGTTTGCCCTCTATGCCTCGTATGTTAAAACTCGTTGTGAACAATTATGAAACGCATAAAAGCTTTTATAATATAATTATTTTAGATGATATTATTAACAACCCATCCAACTACCAACTTTTTTCTATCCAGTTACAAATTTTACCTCAGTTAAATTGGAGACAGGTATTTGAATTTGAATAATGAATTCTCATTAGCTAAAATGTCTAACAAATCTAGACCTTGACCACATTTACTATAAAGTTTTTTTTTTTTGTGTTGCTCTCTTTAAAGATAGTAACATAGTAAGTACTACTTTTTTATTAAATAGATTCATTAATTTCAATTGAATGATGTCTTATAATAGGTGACATTTTTTTCTGCTAGCAACCATTACAAAATACGAGCAACATTGATTGATATTGGTTTACACAATTCCTCAATTTATTAAGGATATTGATTCAAATAATCATTATAAATATAATAAGATTTTCAATAAAAATAACCATTTTTTTGTGTTTTGTGAAAATGGTATTGTCCCAATGTTTTAAAAATCAGGTTGAACCAGGAACCGGGGAAATAAACGGTTCAACTATCACCGGTTTTATGTTTATTTCTGAACTGGTCGAACAAGACAGTCGGTTTTTACAAAAATCTGGTTGAACCGGTTAAATTAAACCGTTAAACCGGTTAAATTGAATAAAAATACATGGTATTGAAACATTTTGTATAAAAAACTTTGATGGTTTTTTCACATCTATTAAGATTTTCCTGAATAAAACACATGATAAATATTATGAAGTTTTTTGATGTGTAATTCATCTAGGATTTTTTTAATGTTTGTGGATTGATGTAAAACTTATGGTTATATGTTATTTTAATGTATTTAGATTATCCACAACTTGTTTTTATGTGTATTTTTAATGTTTGAACCTGTGGACATCAAATTCTTGATTTATGTATGTATATATGTATATGTAGGAAAATATGAAAAAAAAAATATAACAATTATAGAAACCAGTTTACTCGGCGGTCGAACCGGTTAAACCGTTTGTACCAGAAAACGATCACCATATCGATTCAACTAAAAAACCGATTTTTAAAACATTGCATTATCGTAAATTGTCATTTCAGACCTGTTCTAATAGAGTGGATTGACCAAAAATCTCTAATGCAACACATTTTTATTAAAAGTTCTCTTCACTTATGTCTTAAATATATATATTTTGAAATGTTTCACTTATGTCTTAAATATCTATTTTGAAATGTTTAATCGTGACTATGTTTTAATCAAATGTGTGCAAGAGTTTATATGTATATACTTCCCTTTGATATTTATTTATTTTTCATTTTTATTTAACTTTTTTTTGTTAAATTTTAGTAAATAATCAAAGTATTTTCTCAAAAATTTGAAATTATTCATTAGTTTTCGGATCTGTTATTAAAATTCCGGAGTTTTTCTCTTCCAAAATCCATAATTTTGGACCAAAATGAACTCTTTTGACACAAAAATACTTTTGACTTGAGTGGTCCGGAATTAGAGGTGTTAATAAAAACCGAAACCAAATAAATTGGTCGGACCGAATAAGGTTCAATTTAATTGGTTGAGCTTAGTCGATTTAGTTTTTCGTAAATTGAAATTCTGAAGCCTTATTTGGTTTGGTTCACTTAGCATTTTCACCATTCAATTTAACCAAACAAACTGATTAAGACTTTAAAGTTATAAACCTTTTTACTTTCTAATTTTAAGTATACATATACATTCTATAATAGATTAAGGGCATCCACAATGCATTGAACTCTATAGAGTTTAATGGAGTGCCTCATCATCATTCACTATTCCATACAACTCTATTCATTTTTATCCCACAATGCATTAAACTCTACAAGTTCAATGGAACATATTAAAAGAATATTTATTTAAAGATTTAAAAACTTTCATTTTTCCCATTGAAGAGCTCAATGGTCATTGAACTCCAAATCCATTGAATACCAATGTAACATTTCACTATGGTGGAGTTGTATCTATTGAATGATAAATAGACATGCCATCTCATTCAACTCTACCATTAAACTTCCCATTGTGGATGCTATAATAAACAATTGATGTGTTACCATAAATAATGACAATCATTATGGATGATGTTTGGTGTTCATCTACTTCTAATCTTGCGCAAGAAAGACTGTCAATTGTGTGCACATTCGTGATTTAAAATTGAAGGACCACCACATCAAGCACAACTATTATTATTATTATTATTATTATTATTATTATTATTATTATTTTACTATTTGACTTCTATAAGGATGAATGGAGTGGTATTGAGCTCTTCCAGCTCCACCTCAACTCCACCAAGGAAGAAAAGGGGGAAGAGGGAGGAAGAAGAAGCAAGACTCGGCTTGCCATTGCCGAGTTGTTCTTCTGATCTTGGCATTGCCGACTGCCGAGTTCAACCCAGTGTTCGCTGAGTCATTGTCACCTCTGATGAGGGTGTGTTGAGTCAACTCTGTGCAGCCTAATGGACAAATTAAATGATTATTGGCTTTGGGTTTTTAGAAACCTTCACCACCTTACAAATATTTTTGTGTAGGATAGTGTACAAAGCAAAGTTCAATGGACGGTATATATCATGGTAATATATAAGTTTGTTAACAATATTTATTGAAAATCATTTTAATGTAAGAGAAATATAAGTTTGCTATTTGTATTTAACCGTAAACTAACCAAACAGAAATTGCATTTTTTTTATTATACCATATTTAACCGTAAACTAACCAAACAGAAAATCATACTTTTGATTATATCATATTTAAGGTCAGAAATTGCATTTTTTTTAGACAAAAAGGAATGAACAAAATTGACCCCTCAAGAAAAAAAATCTTTTTAATTTGTTTGCCATAAAGATTATAGACTAACACTGTAAGTTCGTGAGAGAGGGACCTCCTTTTGATCACTGGTCCATGGACCTTAATAACCTCATTCTCCTCATCATCATCATAGAAAATGGTCCTACAAAGTTTGTTAGTCATGTCCAATCTTGTCCCGTGTTGGTAAAAATAAAAAGATAGGAGGAAAATGAAACAAACAAGTAGAAACAAATTAAACTACGTTATTTTTCATTGACTAAGTCCACTAGGAAACATTGATCATTACATCTAAATAGTACATGCTTCAATCAAACCGTTAATCCCTTGTTGAAAACTGTAGACGGGACAGCAAAACGAGCTGAAAACGATCTCGAAAGATCATCGAAATCATTCACCATCAACCCCTGATCAAAATTCTGTGCATACTCACACGGATCATAACTAAACTGCGTCGTATTCAAAACTCCATGCACTTTCTTCTTCCTTTTCTTCTTCTTCTTCTTCTTCATCTTCTCTTTCTTGATTTTCCCCCACAAAATTCTCCAAATGGGCCCTCCTTTCAAACCCATATTGATACTCACGTGGATGAACACGTGGTAGTGGCCGTTCTTGTATTGACTCCGGCAGCCGGAGTTGCACCAGCCGACAGTGGCTTCCATGGCTAATTTATAAGAAGTTAAATGGAAAATTGAAATGGGTAGAAACTAGAAAGAGGAAGAACTAAAAGACACTAGTAACCAGTCCCCCTTTAATGTGTGCTTTTGTAGATGAGTGGATGTGCATATATGGCTCTTTATACTGATTTAGGAATGCTTTTCTGTGGTTGTTCTTGTCGTAGATATATAGTACTATATGTTTTTTTGTATATAATTGTAAGACTTTGGATATAACGTAAAAGTCATGGGGTTTAAATAACATTATTTTTTATCCATTATTTAATACTTTATCACCATCACCATATGCTAATAAACTAATGGTAAAAAACAAATTATTCCATGATTATGTCTTTAGGGTTAACGTATAGATAATTACAACATTAATTAATATGATCAATTAAGTACATTTCATGTCTTGTAGATAACTTTTTGTTGTTCATTTTAGGTCAAGTATAATGGTGGCTAGTCTATTTGGCTAAAAAAGAGGTTCTAATTCAATCCTTAAGATATATTTCTTCCGTTCCAAAATTATTGTCCCCTTGCTATTTTAGTTTGTTCCAAAATTATTGTCCACTACCAAAAATAGATATACTCTTTTACCATATTACTCTAACATTTATTAAAGTAAACTGGAATAATTATTTTCCATTGTTTTTAGAAAATGGCAAGATTATCATTTTACTCAAAAAGACAAAGTCAAATTATTGTTTTTCTTAATTTATGTGTTTTTTATCAGTGGACAATAATTCTAGGACGGAGGAATACTAACTTGCTGTTTAAAAAAAAACGAAGATAAATACCTTGTGTTTGATTTGGATGTATATATTTTCAGCAATTATTTAGACATAAAGAGGTCTTACATGACTATACTGTTTTGTCATGTTCTCGAGATCTTTATTTTTCTTGTATCTTGTTATTATAGACATTTAATAAGGTTTGTGAATAGTTTATAAAAGATTATATGCAAAATATTACCTCATCTTTGTAATAATGTATTTTTTATCTTGAATTTTAATCCTAGTTAATTTGTATCTTTTGTTTATATAGAATCGTAGCCTTGGTTTTCGGAACTTGTTCTCTTAAAAATATGATTAAAAGAAACTTTATTACATAACATATAATTAAAATTTGTATTTTATAAAAGCAGTTATATCGTAATTTTTCTAAAATTAAAAATCTAAGACAAATATAATTAGAAACCAACAAAGTGAAAAAAACTAACGAAGAAACAATACCATTCACAGCTGGGGAATAAAAGTGTGAAAATGTGTTAGGAAACTGTAAACCAACAATGAACAAGACTCTAATGAAGCGGAAAGAAATTAGTATACCTCATTCAGTACTTTCGGTTTTATATCGATGCAAGCACTAGTTGTAAATGTATGTCTATTTAGGTGGTAATGTAATTTAAGATTCATTCCCCATGCTTTAATTTAAGAGACGTGATCGATAGAGTTGGATGGAGAAATGGTCCCAATGGAATTCTTGCAATTTAAGATTTAATATAAATGTATGTCTATGTAGGTGGTAATGTAACAAAAAATGAATCAAAATATATTAAAAATAACAACGTTTAAATTTGATTAAAAAAGATTTGGAATGTTAGTAGGAAATTGGTGATCTAAATAGATAACTTGACTCAGAACGAAGTGAAGAAATCCGAATCACGCTTTTATAAGGCTAAGTGTTTGAAGTAGGCTAAAGGCAGTTAGGCCTAAAATCGTACACGAAAAACACCTATCACGTGGGGGTGCGGGGTGCAGACACCTATTTAGTATTACAAATATTCTTGTATAGAGACCCGACCCAATAATTATGATTTTCACAATTAGAATCTATAGAAGAAGGGAGTTAAAGAGGAATACTCATAAGTGTGCTAAATATGCAAGATGTGTGAATACTTAATGACCTTGTTTCAATTGCATATGCATCCGCAATCGAAGATAATATTGGTTCAGACGAGCCAAGATCATATAAATAGACTATTGCAAGTAAAGAAAAATTAGATTAGTTAGTGGCAATAAATGAAGAAATGAGCTCTCTAGAAAGAATGAAATATGAGATCTAGTATCGTTTATTACAAAAGGAGCAAAATCGGTAGGATGCAAATAAGTATTTAAAAGGAAAAAAGGAACTACAATGGTTCAATCAGAGTGATTCAAGGCATGGCTGTTAGCAAAAGGGTTCTCATAAAAGGAAGACATTAACTATCATGAAATTTTCTCGCTTGTTGTGAAGCACAAAATTGGCCATGGTGAGTGCATTTAATTTGCAGCTTGAACAACTTGATGTCAAAACTTTATACTTACATGGTAATTTAGAAGTAAAGATTTACATTTCTCATCTAGAAGGGTTCATTGATGCCAAGAATATCAAGCATGCATGTTGAAGAAATCTCTTTACAGTTTGAAACAATCTCTAAGACAATGGTATAAAGTGGTTGATTTTTTTGTCGACTTCTAATGGTTATGATCAAAACTAATTTGATAATTGTGTCTACTTGAAAATTTGTCTAATGAATCATACGTATATTTGTGCAAGATACATGTAGAGTCCTTAGTTGATACTCAAAAATAGCTCTTATGGAGAGAACGATGACTCCAAAATATATAGAGACGTATGTGAACATGTCACACCGATGGTTGTGTCAAGCCACACGGATACTAGATGCCGAATTTTGAGCCGTTAGTTGACTCTCCAAAATAGCTCTTATGGAAAGAGGGGGCACTCTAAACATATATAGAGACATAAGATTATGTCGTACTGATGTAGGATACGCTAACACTTTATTGCTATATGTAAATGACATTTTGATTGTAACCAAGAATATGGTTGAAATTAATAACTTGAAACCATTACTAAAAATGACTTTGAGATAAGGCTAATAGGAATACACCCATCGCAGATGAGGTGACGGGAACACCATACCCTCTCGTATGTGGTGTGCGGTGAAGTCATGAGTTTCACCTCACCTTTGTGTGTGTGTGTGTGTGTGTGTGTTAGTTTAGAACTTCTAGTTACAAAGAATGTGAAATCTACCTCGATAGGTTAAGTGAACATTCTTGTTGCAAATACAACAAAAAGTGTCATCCAAACTCCAAACATACTAACTTTAATGCTATCATCCATTAAATCCCTCTGATCCAGAAAAAAACAAGAAACATGATGATTAATGGAGTGTCTTTGAATGAAAAATAGTAATGATAAATGAAAATGGTTTCAAAAGAGGTGTTCAAGAAGAAGTGAGGGGATGATGAATGTCAAAATACCAACTTCCAAATTCCTATAATAAAGTCTTATTTTTGATTGTTTAATCATACCAATAAGAATTCACAAAAATATGTTCTCTTTTTCACTTTTTATGAAAAAAATGATTTATTACCATTACCTTTTTTGAATACGAGACTAGTAAGGGATGCAAATTGTAACGTCCAGAAAATACCAAAAATTTTAGTTTTCAACCACCAAAAACTATTCAATCATTTGTTCAAAAGACAATCAAAGTGTAATGCATTCTCAAATATCAGAGAAAAATCATAAATCAATAATGCGGAAAAAAACACCAGGGGATGCAGTGCAATCAAGTTGGACCATTCCCTTTGGAACTAGAAGTACCTAGAACATTTAAAACATAAAACCATAAGCACAAAGCTTACTAAGTTCCCAAAAATACCACATAACCAATATGGTATCGGCTCAACATACATAACGGGCCTCACTCAACATATATAACGGGCCCTGCCCAACATACATGTAAGAGTCACATAGACAATCTAGCGTCCTACACGATATAGTGAGAAGTCTCACCTCACACTCGAAGTCGAATAGGCTACAACTCGTACAGTTTGAAGGTTGGTGCTACATACCACCTAAACAACTATATAATGTCAACATCTTAGTCTACTAACCAAACTACTAATTTGACCAAAAGTCAACCATGCCAAAGTTAGTGGTCAAAGTCGACGTAGAAGGTTACCACACTGTGGGCAACCAATGGCCACATCGTGGCAGTTAAATGACAAATCAGTCGTGTAAACCTCATTCACTACGTCGTGGCTTCTGCTCCTAGACAACTTAATGGATTAAACCCTTAATTCCTTAACACCTTTGCTCTAACTTTCTAGAAATCTTCTTGGGACCCTAATCGCTCATAAAAATATAAACTTAATGGACATGCATGACCCCTGCATGTCCTTCAACCATACTAGGTCAAATGATAAGAAAAATGAACTAAATCCCATGCATGGCTCTCAAAACACTCTAACATTCTAGATCAAGAAGATATAATTGTCAAGAGACCTTTGTAAGTCATAAAGTTGCTAAATTTATCAAACATAATTACACAAACTTCGACCATGGACCAAAATATGCTAAATAACCTAAATTTATAAGGAAGGGACCAAAAAGATCAAGCCTTGAAGACTTACAATGGTCCAGAAGATGATCACAAAGATGAGATAAGATGCTTGCTGGATCCTTGTACTAGAAATCCTCTTCTTCTTCAAAGGCAACCAAATCACCCAAAATGAACTTAAGAGTTTGAAAGCAGGTTAAGGTTTTGATATAATGTAACACTCTGTTTCAAATCGTTTCATAATTTGTGGCCGTGACCCAAAGGATCATAAGGCTTTGAACCTTGGGGAAAGAAAGATTTAGATCCCTTCGGATGTGGATAACGTAGGTTGTGGATACCGAGTGTTCGGTTGGTGCTTTGGAACTCGAGGGTATATCAGTAAAGTGATGATGTGGGCCTTTCATGAATTATGGATTTATGTTCAGAAGGTTTTAAGGCAAAGGAGAATTTTTAAGATTATAGATCTTCTCATTACCTTTCCATGGATATAAGGATCGTCAAAATCAGACGTAGAACAAAGAAGTGATGGACTTTGGAAGTTAGGCGGTTTTGGGGCTAAGTCTAGTATGTTGCGTGTATATTGAGTATGTCGGGCATACTACGGTGGGTGATCGCGGATGGTCCATGGAGTACGTTGGGCATTCGTGGA